CTTGTTTTCATTGTCGTTGGAGCTTTCCTGTATATTTGTCCCTGGGTATGTTCCAGTTAGCGTTTCCCCATCCCCCTGCAATCTTAGTTTAAAGTCCAATCTAAGAGACTGGCTATCCTGGCCAAGAAAACCTTTCTGTGTGAGGTGGATGCCATCTCTCCCCAGGAGTCCTCTGACCTTGAAGAGGGCACCGTGGTCATAGAAGCCAAAACCTTCTTGGTGGCACTAGCGTCGGAGATGCTGGTTCACCTCATCGATGCATTCTTGCCTCCTTGGACCATGGCCTGAAACAGGGAGCACAGGAAAAAATTACCTGAGCCCCCCAATCCTTCAAGCCCAGCTCCCAGGGCCTTGTAGTTACTCATGATGTGGTCTGAATTGCTCCTGGCTGTGTCATTTGCTCCCACATGGATAAGGATCATTGGGTAGTAATCTGTGGGCTGGACAAGCCTGGGGATCCTCTCTGTGATGGATCTGTGCCTCAGGGAGACAGCAGACCTCCTGTGCTGTGGGATCCAGGCAGCAGATGTCTCCCTCTGTTCCTCTCAGCAGGGAGTCACCTACTACAATTACCCAACATCTTCTCCTCTGGTTGCTCTGTTGCCTTGCAGCCTTCCTGGTGGTAGTTGTGGGTGTGGCCTCTGTTGCTACACTCTCTGTTGCTGCTCTCTCCATTGCTGCACTCACTCCCAGTGATGCCAGGGCTCCAAATCCATTCCCCAGCTGCACTGGAGGAGTTGTTCCAGCAATGTGGAGTTTAATTCTGTGTTGTCTAGAACTAGAGGTGACTGTCTTCCATCCATCTGTGTCAGGTCCATCTTGTGTTGCCATCCCGCCATTTAAGTGATCCTGCAAAGAGTGGAAGTACCCATCAATGTCATCATCAGTGGCTCTGATCTCATCTGCTAACCTTTTCCTGGAGTTCCCTTACTTGCCCTTCCAGGGCCTCAATCCGGGCACATGTGGAACAGATGAGGGGATCCCCGGCCATCCCGCTGCCCCCAGCCCCTGAGGACCCTTCAGGCAACCCCTGCAGGCAGGGCACCCAGGTGCTGCCAACTCACCCAAAGTCTCCATTTGGGTAGCGGCCTCAGAGGAGCCTCAAGGCAGGAGGCAGCATCGGGACAGGGTCCCTGGCTTCACTCCAAGTCACCACCTCTGTGGTACAGTGATAGGGAGTAGACCACACTGGAGATACCTGTCATTAACTCAGTAGGGCTTGGCAATCCTCAGTAGCCCAGGGAGGCTGATGGTCATCCTGGGAGGCATGCTCAAGCGACCCGCTCTCCTGGCCTTGGCCAGTGCAGTCTGCCCGCACTGAACAGCAAACTTGTGTTCTGTTCACTCCTGACCTAAGCTAGGGCATTTATATAAATCCACATAGGTTTGAGTGATTCTGCTTCTGGCTTTTTTGAATGTCTGTACTTAGCTTAGAACTGGCTCTGTTGGTAGCCTTGGTGATTCTTTACCCATTGTGGTCTTCCCCCAATGGGCTTTGTAAGTGGATAATTTTCAATCAATGCTGAATGTTTTTATTATTAACTCTATCAAAAGAAAGAGTTATTTCCAAAGAAACTCCTGCTAATACATTTAACTGGGTAAAATCCTTTGAAAACAGTATCTTTCTGTGGAAGTCTAGTGCATGAGAATCCAAAGAGGTGTCAGTCTATATCTTTTACCTGAAATAACATGTAAAGAGCTCATTTAACCTACTTTATTCTCCATTTTTCATTTTAATTTAAACTTTATTGCTTCTATATGTGCCACTATTAAACTTGCAGAACTTTACTATTTTTGTACCCTCTGTGATTTGTTTTCCTGTAGGTAAAATGGAATCTCTATTACCAAAACACTATATATGAAGAAGCTATAACATGGAAATGCTTTACCATAGCAATTTAATATTTAGGCTTTTCTAATTAGGGGAAAGGTGGGGCTCTTATCCATGATGACAAATGAGGAATAGAAAAGAACTTAGGTGAAAATTAAGAAATGTAGTTTTTGCCATAATGAGTTTGAGTTAATTGTCAAATATTCAGCATGAGTTATGATGCAGTATTAGCTTGAAAAGAAGAGATTGGCCAGAAGAAGACATAAAACTAGTAACAGCAGATGAGGAAGAAACAGCGGGACGTGTAAAATGTTAGAAGGATATGGTCAAATAGATAGTTTGAAGAGTTAGAGGCAGCTACAAGAATCAAAGTAACTAGGATCATTAGGATGAATTGTTTTGGCTTTTCTTCTCCCTCTGTGTTATCTGAAGGTCATCTGAACATTGCTCAGCTAACAAATATTTTCCTAAGACAGGGAGAAAACCCTTTTTAAAAAGTCGGTCAGCCTAAATGTTTAGGTGTTCTGTGATTGCTCACCCTAAATGTATTTTAAAAGAAGTTATGCTTTTGTTTTATTCTGTCTATCCACAGATATCAGTTAGCTGGATTATAAAGATTAGCTTCTCAGCCAGTAATACTGAAAACATTTGGCCAATGTTTTTAGCCACTGTGATATTTTTCTCAATTTTGAAGTGTCTAATGTAGAACACTGTTTGAAATTGTGATTTTTCAGAGCACAGTACTCAGAACTTTCTAAAATCATGCTACTATGTGGAGTCTCAATCTGGGCACTGAAAAATTTAGGCTTTCATAATGCCCCACTGAAATCAGGGGCTGGAAATTCCATGAGTTTGTGCTTGTAACATTTCACAGTTTCCACTTAATTGTTGTTCTCCCCAACTTTGGCACATGGGACAGAAAGAGGGACAAAGTTATTCAGCTTTGTTGATTTAACACACATGAATATCCCTATTACATTTTTTGAGATTGTGAAAGATATTTAGACATTGCTGATATCCTTTGAAGTTAATCGTTTTAATTTTCTGTAGCATTATTTCTATTTAAATATTCTGCAAACTGGATAGACTCAATTTAATTGTTTTTAGGAACAAAATAACTGAGATAATTCTGAATTATAGTTTAATTAGACAGGAATACTTGCTGATCCCCTATGACAGCTCATAAGTAAATTTAATAGTTCATAAGTAAAGTGCTTCCTAGGCAAGGAATTTATTTTTCTTCTGTAGTATTCTGTATTTTGCACAGACCCTAAAATCTGACTTTGTGTACTTGAGTGTTTTCATCAGAGTTCAAGTGAGACCAGCAAGACTGAGAATAAAAACAAAGGATCAACAATCCGCTTTGGAAAACCTAAGAAGCATTTCAAACCTCAGTCAGTTTTGAAGCTTCAGATTAGTTAAAACATATCTTTTAACTCAAGCTCTTTTCTACCCTTTCTCTTTCTGGTATCTACTTTGAGAGTGCAGCAGATCTGGCAGTCTATGCTGAGGCTTGCTGAAACTTCAAAAAACACATTTTCTAGAGTGTACTTGTTTCAAAGGCACGTATTGCATTTTGAGGGAGCCTCTGATACAAAGAATCTCTGGGACACAAGGTTTGAAGACTGAAGTTGGTAATTCAGTCTCTGCAACAGCTGATAATAAGACAACCATTATTTGTTTAACCATTAGGAAATCTAGGTCAGAATTTTAGATAACAGCATCAGATGAAGCAAGCCCTCTGCAAAAGAAAACTTATGCATCTCTGATTTAGTTAGGCTGTAAGGTACAAATCTACCCTGTCTTTTGCCTGACTTCAGATGAACATAGCTAATAACCTTTCATGGCTAATAACTTCCTCTGCATTTATCTGTCGTTGATTTGAAGCAGCTGCTAAGCACATCTGAAGACTAAGTAACTTATTAGAACCCTAAATATGGATTTTAATTCTTAATTTAGTGTATGTACAGATGTTACATTTAGATCAACTGAACCAGGCATTCAGAGGGCTTAAACTGCCCAAACTTTGATGCACCTGAACTGAGTCTGTTCCCTTCATGTGGTTCATTGACTTAAATCAAGAAAGGGTTAACTCAATCTAGGGAAGGGTTAGCCTGATCTTCTGCATGCTTGCATATGTTCTCAGCACAGCACCAGGTGCTTACCCCAGCCTCAAGGCTGTGGTGTTTCCACTTCCCAAAACTAACTAAGGTATTTTTAGTCCCCCTCCTCCCCCAACTTCCCCTCTCTGACTGAGCAACCCGCCTCCCTCTGCAGGCAGACCCATCAATTCCTCCCCCTTGATCCTGCTAACTGCCCCCCACACTCCATGAACCCATGATCCCCACCCAATACCACTGGTCCCTCCCCTGATCCCAAGTTACTTAGGTCAGGTTTGCCACATGGCCCCTAGCAGTGGCAAATGGCTGTACCCTTTGTTCCCAGTCTCAGTTTAGATGGCTTAAACTAAGCCGCATGAACATAGACCAGGTTCAGTAAATGGGTGTACATACTCTTAGAACATACGGGCTTTTATTTTTGGGGACAAAGATATAATTGTGCTGAGTTGATTGTTGTAATGTAAAGGATGAACCTACACCCATTAAGTTAAATGTTCACTTGGAAACAAGAAGTCAAAACATTAGCTCTGAAGTTTTTCACAGATATGGGGCAGCAAATCTAGACTAAAAATAAAGCTGAGTCTGATAAGAGACTCAGAAAGAATAATTGCTTAATAAGGCCATTGCTAATAAGATTGTGAAGTAAAATGCACACCACAAACAACAATAGAACATTGAAACAAAATAAGATTTCTGTTGTAAAAAATTACTAGAATGATTTTGATATTTTAATCACTGTAGTGACTTTCTGCTGACAAAATTCCACTCTCATTTGCTTAGTATAAATGGATTGAGGACACAAGGATAATTCATCCTGGCAAATGCCAGCACTAACAAAATACCAAGAAAAACGGGCAAGACATAAATGATTTCTTCTTAATTATTATATTCCTTGACATGGGGTAATTCTTAAATCATGACAGATGTCAGGCTTGGATAAAACTCATTCAGGCTTACTGCTTCCCTAAGGGTTATCTTGTGAAACTGCCAGACTGCAAACTAAGTGACAGTCTCTGATTCTTTTTGTTCTTGTTAATTTTTTTCTGCAGACGCACTATGAAAGTGGAGAGTATATTATTAGACAAGGTGCTCGAGGGGACACTTTCTTCATAATCAGCAAAGGAAAGGTAAGCTGTTGACACCCCTTTTAAAGAAAATGTCATATACAATGGTGTTGTACTGAGAAATGCAGTGCCAGCCAACTTGCAGGGACAAGAGTTACAACATTTCACATTTAATTACATTTTTGATGCTGTGTCAATGGAAAAACAATGGCGTATAGAAAAAATAAAGACCAATGGAAGATTTTACACACTTTTTCACATGCATTCACAAGGACTTTTTGGCTTTGAAAAATGGTTGTTAAAATACTGAGATAAATAATCAACAAGATAAGCACATTCCTTCAAGGGAATCTTTTCTTCATGCTGTGCTTTTACATGTAGAGAGAACCTCAGAAAGTACAGTCTAGATCAGGATCGAAACCTCCCCAGTGCTTGGAACCAGACTTCTGGCTCAGCATATTGTTGAAATAGGAACCAGCTGTATGTTCTAACCCTTTGCAATACACAAACATGCAATACACAAACATTACAGATTGATGGAGCAGATAAACTCTACAGGCCTAGCATTTATTCTATTTGTCAAGATTTGAATCATGGGAAACCATAGAACTACTGAGATGCCTTTCTGAAATAAAAGAAAATGTACTGTGCCATATTTTTTCATGAGCATTTACTGAAACTTTGTGACTGTTTTGAGGCCTGAGTTTCTATTCAGGGTGATATGCTTCTGAACTTTTTGTTTTTCTACAAACTCCTGATCAATCATTATAGTTGTTATTTCTCAGCTGAAATCCCATTTTAAATGGTGTAATAGTGTTAAGGTATGTAAACACATAGCTCTCTTCCTCAGCAGGATGCAAATAGTCCAGGGAATTCACTGTGATTTCTCACTATAGATTATATTTGATAAGTAAAATGTAAGAAAAGATGATAGATGAATTGGGACATAGGAACAATGCAAATCTTTTGTTTATAGACTTTATATCTTCACAAACTCAGATGCAGGTTAATACAGATATTTTATAATTAAAGGTAACAACATAGCCCCATGTGTCACAGAAAGATGGCGTGTTATTTTAGTTATTTTGGACATGCTAACTATCACACATGCTGGGTTATCTTCTGAGGCAGTTGCCAGCTTTCAAGTACTGAAGCTGTCTTGCTCATAATCCGTTTGTCTCTAACTAGTGTCCTTTTTATGAGATAACTGAAGGCATATGTTCACTAGAAGAAAAAGCCATCTCTCTCTCTCTCTCTCTCTCTCTCCCCCCCTCTCTCTTTGTGTGTGTTTTCAGTGTGAATGGGACAAATCACTGTCAGATTTCCTAAGTGCAGATTATTATGGGGTACACATTTCTTATTATTAATACTCAAAGAATTACTTCATGCTACCCTTCTCCTTCATATATTGTTCATGGTCTCATTTCATGGTCTTACTCCAACTTCTTTTACTCGGGGATAAACACACTATCATAATTTATTTATATCTCCGAAGAAGGAAATCCTTGACATGAATGATCCCCATGCATTGACTAATCTGTACTGACCAACAACAGCTTCTACTCTATCCTTTGTACTAAAAAATGTGTCTATATTTCTTGCTGATGGGTTTAACCAATTACTGGGTATGTCTACACATTCATGAATGTGCAGTGGTTACTGCACATTTCATTTAGTACTTGTGTAATCAAGTATTAAATAAATATAAAGTAACTGGAGTTACTGTGCAGTAGCACCAACAAGCACCGTTTTAGTGATGCTACTGCACACTAGCTTAATAATACTGCACAGTAGAGTATTAGCACTGTTCATGCTATGACATGCTATTGCACAGTATTATTAGCATCTTGTGTAAATGTGCCCACTGCATATAATTAAACTCATGCATCTATACATCCTCTATGGTGCCACTAACAGAAATGGCAGAATGTTATGAATAAGCTATGTTGGCTTTCCGTTGGCTACTACATGGAGTCTACATGTTTCAGTTTAAGGGATGCCTTTGATTATTTATTTTGAAAATTCATTGGCCAGCAAAAGCAGTTACAGTGCACCTCACCCTACTGATATGTTCCTTATACCTTTGGCTGGAGTCTTGTCAGAAAGGCTGTACAGAGATGTCCACTCTCCAGTTTCTAAGTAGATCCGTACAGGTACCTCAGTTCTACCACTCTAATGGTTTGCAAAAAGGACTGTTGGGAATGGTGATAGATGCGAAGAACTGGAGACCAGTACAGTAAACTTTACATGCAGATATATGTGATACATAGAATCATAGAATCAATGAGTTGGAAGGGACCTAGACAGATCGAGTCCAACCTCCTGCCATGGGCAGGAAAGAGCACTGGGGATGGGAGGGGTCATAAGACCCCAGCCAGGTGCTTATCCAGTCTCCTCTTGAAGATTTCCGGGGAAGGTGAGAGCACCACCTGTCTGGGAAGCCTATTCTAGGCTCTGGCCACCCTTACAGTGGAGTAGTTCTTCCTAATATCTAACCTAAACCTATCCTCCCTCAGCTTGTGGCCATTGTTCCTAGTGACTCCAAGGGGGGCCCTGGTGAACAGAATTGCCCTGAGTCCCTGCTGCTGGCCCCTGATAAGGTTGTAGGCAGCCACAA